AGAGAGAGAGAGAGACGAAGCGAGATAAACGATATTACCTTCGAGGCTTGGAGAACTCCGACGAGATAAATATGTTTTTTCGTGTTGTTTATGTATTCGCGCATTTTTTCCATCCCCTTGTCGAATCTCAAAAATAATTGATGATGCACCTGATGCACAAGGAAAAACTACGTACGATCATTTCCATTTCGTGATTTTAAATATATACGTTGGATAATTTTTACCTCTGACAGTTTGTAGTCGCCGTACCACATTATCCATTGGCAACCGAACGTTGGTTCTCGCATGCAACAATCGCGATAATCGATAATCATCGCTGCGAATCACAAAGGGCGTAGCGTGTTTTCATTCTCTTTTTTCGCTTTCGAATCGATTTTTCCATCGAATCGAGATCGATCGTTCTCGAGCGTTCTCGAATGAGCGATCGAATCGGCGCATGCGCCACTCCACGCGCGAGCCAAAACTTGAGAAATCGATCGATAAAGTGGAAAAAACGAAGATGTGTACGAAGCGTTTGTAAGGAAAGAGTATATAAAGGAAAAAAATTAGAAAGGATATTACCTGGCCACCAATTGTGCCCGGCAATTTTAGCCCAGGCTATAATTCCTGGATTCTGTTCTTTCAATGGCAAAAGCGTCAAATCTACGTTGACTTTTTGCGGCGAATCTTTCGACTTCTCGGCCAGTTTTTTCTCCTGATTCTCTCCTATCGACAAATTCACCCATCTTCATTCTCTACCTTCGACGAGGGAAGGAAAAACGAACGGACGAAGAGTATCGAATACGTACGTTTTTGATCCAATAAATATCTTTCCGTTACTTTTGCGTTTTTCTCTTTAAGATGGTCTAATCTTTGTTGCATTTTTACCGGATACGGATAAAACTTGATTTCGTCCAACACTTTTGCGCGAAAAAAAAAAAGGAATAAAAACGTTAATCAAAAAAAAAAGAAAAGAAAAGAATATTAAAATTTTTCCATTCGATCGCTTACTTTCGATCATATTTTTTGGGAAATTGCTTTCGATCCACGTGAAATACGGCTTGGTCAAAGTACTGCCCAATTTTTTGCGCAACATCTGAAAGAAAGTCGTACGTTGAGCGCGCGCTCGAAAAAGGGAAGGAAGATGAAAAGCGAAGGAGGAACAAGATGGAAGGAGAGAGAGGGAGAGAGAGAGAGAGAGAAAGAAAATGGAAAATAAAACCTGCATAGTTGCGTCAATGGCACGAATTCGCGGTACGTTTAAATTCTGCGTCAGTCTAGCCTTGAGGTTACACGAGAACGGTTCGATCTGCGTCTTTTCGTTCAACTGAAACGAAAATAATAACGGTGAATTTCGAGAGACGCGTACAAATATATTAAAGATAAAGATAAAAGATAGATAAATAGATAGGTAGATAGATAAATAGATAGATAGATAGATAGATAGATAAATAAATAAATAAATAAATAAAATATTCACTAATGATATACGAGCTTCTCCGATCCAGTAAACCCATAATTTCCCTTCCTCGGACAACATTCCTACATGGTCGGCATCGACAATTAACGCTGTAATATCACATAGAAACGTTTACTTAGGACTAAATGGCTAATCTCGTCTCGTCGCTTCTTTTCGCGGTAACGCGCACGATCCTAGTTGCAACTTTGTACAAACTTTCTGTACTTTTCGCGACCTTTTCGGTGCTGCGTCGATCTCAATCGGTTAGGATAATACCGATTTTACCGATCGAACGCGAATAGGAAACTCGTGCAGGGAGAATTGGAAAGAAACGTATAACGGGAAAAATCCTTGCCTGGCCACCATCCCGCGCAATAGCCCCACACCAATTTGCCGACGGACAGATCCTTCCCAATTTTCATCGATCCTCGCGTCACTCTTCTCACCTCCTGATTTTCCTCGTTACCTTTCAACATTTTCGCTCGAACCTTCTTCCTCTCGTAGGAGGAAACTTTTTTTACCGAATCTTTCTTTCCAGCCTCGTAAACCGTCGACTTCTCGACGTCCGTGTCCCGGCCATCTTCCCTCTCGTTCTCAATGCCGTAAACAGCACCGCTCTCGCGAAAAATTCTCTTCATCAAGGGAAGCGTGTGAATCTCGTCGAATCTCGTCGTCGATTCCCGATTCTCGTCCCGTTTCGAATCCTTCGACTCGAATCCCTTCTCGCGTTTAGAACGCGTAACAACATTCTCGATCGTATTTTCGTCGTTCGTTTTTTCGTGAAGCACAGTTTTCGTCGAACTTTTCCATGCACCGTTGTCGTCGCGAGATACTCGTCGTGGCTCGAAAGCTCGTGGAGCGTCCGTACCGTTGGCGAGAAGGACGTTATTGTTGTTGTTATTGTTGGCCGAGCGTGACCGAGTCGACCGACACGACTCGTCGGCCAAAATAGGACGACGATCGATCGAGGAGGATAGTAGATCTGCGGAACGTTTCTTCGGTCGGCCGGGCTTTCTCTTGCAAGATTTCCAAAATTGATCCACGGTGATCGTTGAGTCGTTCGCGTACATCTCCCTCCTCTTTCCACTCATTTTCCCAGATTTCGACGCTCGTCTCCTTCTTCTCCCTCCTCCTCGTTTCTTTCGAAACCGCGGCGTGGTTCTCAGCCGTGGTGAGATCCGTAAGGGTGATTTGCTCGCGATCTCCGATATCGGGCGAAACGAGACCTCGTTGTTGTTACGAGAGGCGGTATCCGATATCAAACCCAATTCCATCGCGCACACCAACGACCAAACACTTTTTCCCGCCCACTGGTCCAACGTGTCCTTCGTTGCTGCTTTCATTTCCTCGGAGATCTGCAACAACACGCGCTCGTTAAAACCCGATACACTCGTTGTTTCGCATAGGAAGCGAAGTAGGAAGAAGCAAGCGTGGTGGAAGCGCGACGGACGCGAGGAGAAGGATCGAAATCGCGTTTGAAACACCGTGGTGGAGGAGGGTTGAAAAGAAAAAAGAAAAGGGATAGGGGGGGGAGGAGAGAGAGAGAGAGAGTTAGGGAGGGGTATGCGATCCACGTGGCGCCTCGAAAGGCATTTCTCGAGGTCGCGGCGTGCTTTGCCGGGGTCGACCTGATGAATGGAAACGTCGGTATTATTGTGTTTACACGCGGGACACACGGGGGCCTCTCTCGCTCTCTCGCCACACTTGGCGTGGAAACATTCATTCATAAAGCGTTCCGCGCGTTCCTCTCACCACCGCGCTCTGTCCCTCCTCCCTAGCTAGCCCCGTTGCGCCTCTCACCCCTCCACTCTCCAGCCGCCGTTATACCCCTCTACGCGAGGGTACACGACCCTCCGCCGTCGAGTGTAGAGGGGTAGTACCAGTGACGTAGCCAGAATTACGACAACGACCTGCTGATTCGCTTATTTTATTGTCCCCCTCCCCCCCTCCGGATCGTGTCCACTCGCAGTCGGCTCGTCCATGACCGCGTGCTTACTCGCCTTCTTCTTTCCTTTGTCTCTCTCTCTCGCCTTCTTCTTCCTTTGTCTCTCTCTTTCTCTCGCCTTCTTCTTTCCTTTGTCTCTCTCTCTCTCCCTCTATCGCCTTCTTCTTTCCTTTGTCTCTCTTTCTCGCCTTCTTTCCGAATCGATCGATCGGAGATCGATCGAGGAGGGAGGATGCGATCGTACCGACCGAATCGCTGGATTTTTCGAGAACGTTTTTTCTCGGGAACGAAATTCGTGAAAAAGGCGTGGAAAATCCCGTTTTCCAAAGAGACAACTCGTACACGCGATCATGCGTCGCGTGACCGACTTGCCGTTACGATATCATCTTGTGCGACAGTTTCTTTTTTTTTTCCTCGCTCCACTAAATTTTCCACGTTCGTTCTCGTGGACGACAGGGAGAAGAGAATTTATCGGGATTTGTAAAAAAAAAAGGTTCGTAAGAAACAGAAAGAAAGAAAAAAAGAAACGACGAAGCACCGCTCGTACGAGATGACGGAACAAGGAACGATACAGCAATGTTTACGCGTACTCAGCTGATATGAATGGACTAGGAGCGCGAGCGAGTGAACGTATTTGTGGATTCGGTCATGACGACTTTCGGTATAAATTGAAACTTCTCGAGGGTGTCTCGCCGCCGCCGCTGCCGCCGCCGCCGTCGCCGCCAGTGGGAGAATGTCAAGGGGCGAAGGACAGAGAAAGAGAGAGGGTGCGTATGCGCGAGAAAGAGAGATACAGAGCGCGATACTCGAAGTAACAGGAATACCGGACAAAGATGGAAAGAAGCAGCGAAATAGAGGGGAGAGAGCGACCGACTGACAGAGAGACAGGGAGAAGGAGAGACAGAGAGAGAAAGAGAGAGAGACGGATGAGCGAAGGGTACAAAGCCACGAAGCTGGGTCAGTTCCGTTTAGTACGAGATAGGCTACGATTCCGTTTGGATCGGAGAATGTGCACGGATCGAGATCCACGAATCGCGCGATCCTCTATCGAACCAATTTCCATTCTCTATGATGATTCCACGCTCTTTCGACGTTCAACCAATATAACACGTTTCTTCACACCTTTTCAGAATTTATTCCCTTCTTTTTTCCTCTCTGTCAGCCCTTTCTATTCGCGTGATATTGCAATTACGCTATTATCCTTCCCGTATTTGAGTATCGGAAATCCGAAAAAGTCACTCCCTCGGTCCTTCATTTCTGAAAGCGAGAAAATGCGGGACCGAGAAAAGAGTGGTGGGAAAAAAAAGATTTCAAAGGGATAGTATCGGCAAAGCGGTGCAGATTGACGGACAGGTTGGTCGATCCACGATTTGCCTCGATCACACGCGCGCACCCGCGCGCGTGTCTTTTCCTTCCTTCGCTACCAATTTTTTTCGAACAAATGGTTTATCCGTTGGTAGGATACGTTACGTGACGTTTCACGTTTGCGTGGTGGAGCGCAAATAGAGCCACGAAAGGAAAAAAGAAAGGAAGAAAGAGAAGAAGAAAGAAAGAAAGAAAGAAAGGAAGGAAGAAGGAAGGAAAAAAGAAGAAAGAAAAGAAGAAAGAAAGAAGGAGAAACTTAAGAAGAGAAAGAAGGACGAGAGAGTTTTACTCGCCTAGCGCAGCGTGGGCTTTTCTTGTATTCTATTGATTTTTCCGAAAGTTCGCGTGGTGGGAGTCTCTGGCAGGCAGCAGCAGTGTGCGAGCTTGGCCAGGAACGTGTTTGCGTGAGCTTCAACGATGGCGATATCGTCTTTTCCTTCCAACTCTCTCTCTCTCTCTCTCTCTCTCTCTCTCTCTCTGTCTTTCTCTTCCGTTTCGTTCGTCGCGGAGGATGGTTGTACTCGACTCGCAGCGAGCGCTCTTTCTCTTTCTTATCCGAACGTTCCTCCTTTCGTTTCTTCGCCGATAGTTCTCTTCCGTTTTGAGGATCAGTCCGTACGCGCTTCGACGCGAATTGTTCGCCTCTCGCTTGGTCGAGCGCCGCGCATTCCTTCTCGCTCGCTCGGCTTTGCGTGAAATCCACCCTCGACCCCGCTCTCTGCCACGACTCGTTCGTGCTTAGACCCGGTGCTATATGTATACGTATGACCGGCCATGGCGCGCGTGTGCATACACACACACATATATATATACATATTATATATATATATACACACACGCACACGACATACATACATTGGTTACTCGAAACAGGAACGTGTTAAGAAATTTGACTTTGACATTATTTTTATCGCGACGCTCGATCGAAAAAATCGCGCGCGACACTCGTCGAATATCGACGCGCCGATCGAACTATCACCAATCAACATTCATCGTTTACAGAAGAGACGAGAAAACGAAAGGTTAAATTGCATTGTAACTTTTTTTTTTCCTCTTTCCACGAAGGAATAGGTTGAAAGTTGTTTTCCACCAACTTTTAAATAGCGATGCCCGAAGTTTAAGAAGAGAAGAAATCGCGGAGAAACGCTCGTTTGGAGCGTGCGCGAATTCACCGAACGGAAAGAGTTTATCCAGTCCATAGACTGGATCACGGTAGATCGCGTTCCCTCCATCTAGATGCGACGATCTAACGACGAGACGAAGCTTGCCCCTCGAATCGAAGAGAAAATAATATTTCTCGAGGGACGAATTATCGATAGGACGAGAGAAACGTCGCGATACGATATCTAGGTACAGCCCTGGTATTCCGTCCACCTACATCGCGGCAGGGTCACCGCTTGCACCACTACCACAGCGCGCGCTCGTGCATACGTGTACGCATACGTTCCCTTATATACCTCAGAGCTGTCTCCGTTTCTCCGTTGGTCGGTCCTTGTCTCGCAGTTGGTCTCTCGGCGATATACGCGCCAGCGCGAATGAGCACGATGCGTGTGTTACGTATATGTGTGTGTGTGTGTGTGTGCATGTGTGTGTGTGCGTGCGCGTGTGTGTATGTGGACATGTGTGCGCGCGCGCGGGTGCGCGTTTCTCACCCACGGGTTCGCACACGGTCGTGCGCTCGCGCTCGAGCTCGCCTTCCCACTTGGATGTACACCCTCGCGGCGGACTCGGTCGAATGGATTGCACGCGTTACACGGACACGCGTGCACCGAGCCGCGTTTCGACGCGTGTATGCACGTACGGTGAAGCGCTGGGAGCGCAAGCCGCGCGCACGGTTCGCCGCCACCTCTGCCGTGGCCAGGCACTCGGCCAGCGAGCCAGTTAGACTGGCAGGAAATCGGCCAACCAACGGCCGGCTCAGCCGCGCGACGCTTCGATCGATAACGCGGATCGATTTTCCCCACGGAATCTACAACGACGGACTCCCGTTTGACTCGCGGCAACTGCCCACCGATGACGAGGATAATTTCGTCGTTCGTGCAACGAAACTCGAGATCGCGATTCTTAAAATTGCGAGAACGCGAAAATGAATTATCGGTTCGATGCTTCGACAGAATTTCGCGAAAAGAATCTCGATCTCTCTCGCCTCGAGAGAAGAATATCGCGTGCAAAATTTCTCAACGAGACTCGATATAGTCGTCCAACTCAATCGATATAATATTATCGATACCATCGCAACAATAAACGACGAGTATCTTATCAAAAATTCTACTTTGAAAGTAATTCGGCCTCGAGAGTCTAAAATCGATTCATCTCGATCGAATATCGATTAGTTTCGATCAACTATTACGTCTGACAGAAAGAAACGATAGGCCGACTTTCTACACCAATCGAGAGTAAAATCGTTTCTATTTTTTGTTACCAACGTCGTCCTCGTCATCCTCGTCGCCGTCGTCGACGTCGTCGTCGTCGTCGTCGTCGTCGTCGTCGTCGTCGTCGTCGTCGTCGTCGTCGTCGTCGTCGTCGTCGTCGTCGTCGTCGTCGTCGTCGTCGTCGTCGTCGTCGTCGTCGCCGTCGTCGTCGTCCTCGTCGTCGTCGTCGGTGTCGTCGTGGTCGTTACCGCCGTTGCCGTCGCCGTCGTCGTCGTCGTGATCGGCGGGAGGCTATGAAACCGAGCGAGACCGAACATAGTCGATGGAGGTCGGAAACGCACGAACCTCACGGCTCGAGCGACCGAACTAGCGACACGATCAAGCAGTGCGGTGCCGACTCTTGCTGCCGCGGCTTCGACTTCTGTGTTATTCGTGGACGAGTGTTTACGCGACAGAGGACTTCTCGTCGAAACGAACACGGAGCAAGGCGTGTACGATAGAGAATTAGGAGGGAGAGGATTAAAGAGAATACAGGGCAGAGTTGGGCACCGAAGAAAAACGATCCAAACGGTGATCGAACAAAGACGGCGAAGAGGACGAGGAGAAGGCGCGATCGTCGTAGTGTCGAGCACAATATCGAGAGAGGTTTAGAAGCGATACGCGTCGTCGTGTTATCGAATACGAAATAACTCGATTCGTCGTCCGGTTGGAGAAACGACTGAACCGTTCGACGCTCTCGTATTCGGGGAAATATAGGAAAAGACGGAAGAGGGAGAAGGAGGGAGATAGAGATAGAGAGAGAGAGAGAAGGAGAAGAGAGAGAGAGCGAGAGAGAGGAGAGAGAAAGGCGGAAGGCAGAGAAAAAAAGAGAAAACATCGTGCCGTCTTTATCGTTCGGGGCGTGGGTGCAACGCGAATGCGAATAATCCCTCGGACGAAACCGCTTTACCGTGAGCGAACGTGACGACCAGGAGCGAGGATATAGACGAGGGAGCAAGAAAATAAGAGAGACGACGAGTGGTTGGGAACGTGGACGTCGGTTGCGAGAGAGGATTTGGAAGAGAATCAGCGGGGAGGCCACTGGAGAGATCGGGATCGAGAACGGGGGACACGGAAGAGGAGAAACTGGAAAAAGAAAGTTTTCGATCGAGAGGAATAATCGGATTCGGCGAGCGATCGTTGCCGAAATAGTGGTCACGTGTGACCGCGTGCGGGTGAAAACCGTGAAAGACACTCTCGCGCGGACTCTCGAAAAGGAGGAGGCAGGGTATCGCGGTCTCGAGCCGAAAGTAGCGAGACAGCCGAACACCGTGGGTCCGGCTATCGTCCGAGCTCTGCCTCTCTGTTCCTCCTTTTCGCGTCTCCGCGGGTTTGGATTCGTCGAGGAGTCGAGGAGCAGAGGAAGAAGAAGAAAAAGAGGAGGAGGAGGAGGAGGAGAAGGAAGAGTTCCGACGGAGGATCGAGGCGCTCCCGAGACCGGCCGTCGGATATCCTGGAGGACGATGACGACGGTGGAAAGGAAGATCGCGAGCGGTAATCGGAGGACGAGCAGCACTACGAGGGGACTCGATTGAACCTTGATCGAATCCGCTCGATTCGCGGCGATCGTCGTCGTCGTAGTAGTAGTAGTCGTCGCGTCGTAGTAGTCGTCGTCGTCGTCGTCGGCGACCGACCGAGGTTACCGTCGGTCTCGTCGTCGCGACGGTACGACAGATCACGTTTCACGTTCGGGTGACAGTGTTCCACAGTGAGTGTTGTTGGTGCGAGCGTTTTTCAGTGACGCGAGATCGCGCGCGTTTCTTCGTCTCGCGCTAACCTACCGACGGCTCGCGTTCTCTCCGCGAAGCCGTCGGGAATAGTGGACTTGCCTGCTTACCCTGCTACCTCTTCACTCTCGTCCGTCTGTTCCGATCATTCTCTCCCGGGAATTCCCTGTTTTCAAGCCGTATTGTTGGGAAAGTGTACAAAAGGGTGGCGAATCTATCTGTCGGGAGCGAAGGTGTGACAAGTCTAATCGAGGGATATAACGATCAGCGAGGATGCAGGTGGCAACGCTGTTTCGGGAGAGCGCGAATCTGCTGGGTGCCTCTAGCCTGGATCCCCCGCAGACTCACCATCACCAGGCTATGCACCCGCAGCAGCAACAGCAACAACAGCAACAACTTCAACAACACCCCGCCGAACTGCATTTGGCTCATCATATGCAGCATCACTACAAATTGTAAGTCCGTACCTTTCAACGGAAATGGTAGAGTCGCGAGATCGTCGGAGAAATCGACTTCCGTCGGCGGTAACGGAAATGGAAAAAGTGGAGGACTTTGTTCTGGAGCGACGATGCGACGGGAACGGAACGATGATTCTCCGTTCCAAGCTTTGTCGCGAACGCGCGTTATCGCGTTGTCACCGATACGGATATCTGTTCGCTATGCTCTGTCCGTTCTCTCGCTCGAGCTTTTTACGAATTTCGTCACGCGCCATCAAGGGACAGGGAGAGTAGCATTTGTATTCGTTGCGCAAGGTCCGGTCGTGCCCTCGTTCCTTAAACCGTACAATTTGTTTCCACCACCGCGTAGACGGGTGTGATCGATGTCGCGACGATAACCGTCCACAAGGTAACGCACCGATCCTTTAAAATCTCCAATCTAAATCCGTCGGTGAGCGAATATATATATATATATATATATATATATATATATATATAT